ATAATAATAATATTTTCGAACGTGACACTACAGTTTTAAATTTGTAATTATAAATTATAAAATTAATTTTCTTATCTAATTGTACAGTTAAGAATATTTAAATGCATGCTAATTATTTGTGTTTGCTCTTAATTACCTTTTCTTTAATCGAGAAAAGTATTTTTTATAATACTTTATAACCTTTATAAATTTGTTATTGGTTAATTGTAGGGAAATGGTGGAATGTATTTAAAAAATATAAAAAATACTAAGTACTAAATGCTGACTCAAAATTCGATTTTAAATACATATCACTCTTTTCATTTTATTTATGGCGTTCCAAAGAAAAAGTTTTGGAAAAAATTATGTGCAAATTCACACTCTGCAAATTTTACAAGGTACCTAATTATAATGGTTTGTGTTTGCAGTACCTATTAAAAAACAAAAAATAATAGAACAATTCAATATGGAACCATTGAGAATGCCAAAACAAGTATTAAATAGAATTATTAAGCTGGAAAATATTGATGATCAACTATCTAACCAGATTATTAAAGAGGAATTCATCGATGAAACAGTCCATCACAATGATCATCAATTATTCCAAAAAAGGTATGAATTAAATTTACAACATAGTGTAGTATTAAATTTGATGATTTTATTTTTATAAATTTTTTTTATTTATTTTTTATTAAATTTATGTGGTTTAACCTATAAGGCAGCGGTTCTCAAACTTATTTGTGTTCCTAAAAAAAATTACGGAGCCCCATTATTCAGAAATTTCTATTTGAAACAACAATAATTCATAAATAATGATGTCAATTGTAAATGATTTGCTAATTATTTTTTTTCTGTAGTTAAAATACGAATATAATATACACATTATTTAATTAATTTAATAGGAAAAAATAACATGATATTTTAGTAATTTATAAATTTTAATGTAATTTATGGTGTTGGCTTTTTTTATTGACCAGTATTTTAATATTGGCTTCATATCACAATATCCATTAGGCACTTATAATGAGTTATACGTCAACAAAAAACCCTGATACTATCATAGTCCAAACTCCATAGATATATAATAGTGTACTTTAGAAGTTTCAAGTACCCACGAATAATATTACACAATTACAACAAAATAACTAAAATAGTTATTCTAGGTTTTTTTTTATGTAATTTTGTCCAAAGTTGAACTTAAAATGACTATACAAATAAACTGTGATTATGTATTTTTTAGATTTTTTGTTAACTGAATTAACTACTTACGTGGAATCTTGTTTTAAATGTTCAATCCTTAGATATAAAAGTTCAACATTTTATACATTTTTAACTACAAAATAATTATTCAATTTTAAATTTGATAAATTTTGTCAACATTTGAACTTTAAATGCTTATAAAAAATAATTGTGCATTTTGTATTTGTATTTATGTATTTTTAATATTTTTCAACTGCTATTGTAACAATATATCAGGAGCTTTGCATTAAATGTTCACCCTTTTTTACCCAAGAAATAAAATTTTATTGATATTTATAAAAAAATAAAAAAAAATAGAAAACGACAATGTCCGTAAACAGCTCAAAAATAGTCAAATTATTTTCAAAATTGTACGTTGTATAGAAATTGCTAATATATACATTCAGTGAAATTTTCAAGTATCTACAGACTTTTATTAATTACAATAAAATAAGAAAATCGTTACATGAGAAATCCAGTGAATATCAAATGTTGTAAAAATATGAATTTTAAACGCTCATAAATATTTAATTTGACTGTCTCTCATTTTTTTTTTTTTTTTATGAAGGTTTACAAACTTATGAGCAATCTTGTATTACATTTTGAAATCTTAGATTTAAAATAAATTTTTTTATGAATTTATAACTCAAAATAATTTGTAAATTTTCGTCATTTTTACGTATTTTGTGAATATTTGAACTTTAAATGCTTATAAAAAAAAAAAAAATGTGTAGATTTTTAATTTTTTTCATCTACATTTGAAACAATAAACTAGGATCCTTGTATTACATTTTCAAGCTTTTTTACCCAACAAATAAAATTTTATTGACAATCATAGAAAAAAATTAACAAACTGAAAGTTGACAATGTCCTTAAACAGCTTAAAACAAGTCAAAATATTTGGAAAATTTTATGGTGTATAGAAAATGGTAATATAAACATTCAGTCAAAATTTCATGTCTGCTTTATTGTACATCAAGTGCCATGTGGGTCATTGTAATGAATGTGTTAAATTTGAATTCAATGATATAAAATCTTTGTACCTATTCGGAAAATAATTCTGAGTGTTGACAATCCGTCAGCTTATTAGCTTATTTACTAAGTCTATTTTACTATATTATTATTTATTAGAACGAAGATTTATACGCATTTGCATATTTGGTCTGGTTAGTTGTATGATATGTAATATTATTGCAAAGTTATTTATTTTCCTACTCTTAGAACAGTGACTATTCAATCTGGATTAATTTTTCAGATACTACATTGCATCTGAATATATAATTTTGTGTACTTTAAAAGTTTCAAAAAGGTACCAACTGACGAATAATTTTTTTAATTACAACAAAAATAACTGAAATTGTTATTCTTTTTTTTAAACAACTAATTTTGTCCAAATTTGAACTATAAAAAAAAATTGTGTTTATGGATTTTATAGATTTTTTACTCTAATATTATATTGAGGTAACGTGGTTGGGGAATTGACCAGTAAATTATAAAATAACCAGTTAGAGTCTGAGAATCCTACAGATATGATTAGCGTAGCCAGGGGTGATATCAGAATCTTAAAATATATGTTATTTTAAATAACAAGGATTCTGTTTCAGTTATTATTAAGTTTTATTTTCTATAAACACTTACAAATAATAATACTGACAAATATGCAAATTAAGTTTTATCATACCGCGTGACTGTATCATAGTCATACAGAGTTTGGTATTTGTAATGTTTTGAGGTCTACAGTGAACTAACTTACTTATAAATGGTGTGTGTTGGCCATTATTTAGGCCTCACAATAATGTGTGTGTTAATAATATTTTATCACGCAGCAGTTGATCGTCCATAATGTAGAGTTCATATATATAGCCATATATGGCCTATAATATATTTATATTTATAATTGTAACTTTACCTCCTTCCTTTTGAAAAAAAAAGTTTTAATGATATTTTGAGTATACAGATTGTTTTTATCCCTATCCGACTTGATTGATTGGATATGGCAAAGGAGGACTGTTGATTGAAGTTTTTTTTTGTGATTGCTGCATGGATTGGTATTTTCATACATTTGAGAATTTATTACATTATAAAACATAATTTTAATTTTTCACTTCATATAATATACTATACATTATTTCAATTAAATGGTTTTATAATCTCTACTACCTCAATTCTTAACTGTTATCTCTTATATTGTCAATTATCACCATTCAACTTTATTTTAACTGTATACTATGTATTTTTAATCAACACAGTGAAGGTTTTTTGTTTTATGTATAATGTATATTATAAGTATTTGCTTACAATTATTTCTATTATGCCAGAGGCAAATTACTTTTTATTTAACAAAATAGTGCTAAACTTACATTTTATAAATTCAATTATGTTTATTTAATTTAATATTTTTTCTGTTAATTAGTTATAATCAATACAATGAGTATTTCTGATAATTTTTACATACAATCGCAAAGTTTACATAATAATTTTAAAATAACTTAAATACACTGATTACAACTGTTTATTATTCCCACACAGCATGATAATACTTTATAAATGTTTATTCATGTTTGTTTGTTAAAAGATCTTAAAACCTTAAAAAGTTATTGAAAAAAAAAAAAAAATGACTTTAAATAATATGATCAAACTGATTGTGCAATGGCTATTTTGTCTTGTTGTATTTTAATGTTGAATGGAGCTTGAGCTAATACATGCTTGATTGTTTCTTCAATTTCAATTTTAGGATTATTTGAGAATTTTACTTTTTTTTTTATAGCATCTATACAGTTATAAAATTTTTAATTGGTTTAACATTTCACTTTTAGAATTGTATTTAAAGTCATCTAAGGTCTCTTTCCACATCATACTATATTATTATTATATTTTTAATATAAAGTTTATACTACATTATCATTTAGTGTTTTTATAAGATTTCTGTGTAAAAGTTTATTAAGGATCAACAATTACAATAAATAATATAATTAAGAGGACACCGCACCTGCATAATACCCTAGATTACTATCTAGGGCATCTCAAAGGATTTTATTGCTATTTTAATTATGAAGCAAGTTATGATCATTTTAAAATTTACAAATTAAATTGTAGTTTTATAATTCTCATAACTTGCTTTATAAATAAAATAAATAAAAGCCTTTCAAATGCCATGGATAATATTATCTTTAAATTGTATAATATGTTAATCTACTATAATTTTAAAAATAACAGTATAATTCATTATTGTGAACATAAAATTGTCCATGTTATACGCTTGTAATATGGAGACACCAATACAAGCAGGCATAGTGTCCTCTTTATAACTTTTTAGGCTAATTAATAATAATACAGAAAACATAAAAAATGGATAAAATACAAATTGTTCGAATCATGTAGTATATTAAACCAGGGTTACGAATACGGCTCCCACAAAAACAATTAATATACACTCTTTAAGTATTTAACAATTTATTTTCACAGACACTGCTCAAATGATGTTTTTTGATATATATATATATTATATTTTTATGCTTGTATATGTTACGGCCCAAGTGGATACATGGTCATTGTAAGCACTGACCGGACAAAGTTTACAATGTCCGAATTATTCAAGCCATATTGATAATTATTCACATAAACCAGACAATGTATACAATGACCAGAACTGTAGGTGCCAAGTGAACAAAATACATATATTAATGACTTATATAATTTTATTTAATATATTTTTAAGAGATTTGATTAGCAAATAAAATTGAGAATATTTTATTTATATTAATTTTTATTGAATATTGAAATTATTTATTTTTACAAGTATTACCATTATGGCATTTAGAGTTGCATATAATTCCAGCAGCTTTACATTTGTATCTCCTTGTTTCGCATTTTTGAACACAAGTGCAGCGGTCATAGCCTTGGCCTCCTAGATTTGAAAATAGCCTAGCCGCTTCTCTTAGTGACAACTGAATATCGGGGACTTCATCAACACTCACAAACTTCTCCTTGCAAATATTAAATTGATTTCTACTATAATAATGTTGCAGTTTACCTTTGATTGTGCCCAATTTATAATTTCCGTCTTCCACTATAAAAAAAAAATTGTAATTATAAATAACCATATTAAACAACAAATAATAATTTTTTTTTTTTTTTTTTTTTTTTTTTTTTTTATTATAAGGAACAAGGCCTCGACTGCATAGGTCATTGGCCGCGATTAATTTTAACAAACTGATTAATACATTATAGGTAAATACTTAAAAATATGTAGTAAATTATAACAAAGGAAAAGAATAAAAATAATTTAGATTTTTGGTTACAAGGTTTTATGTAAATTAGTGTCTCTTATAAAACTAAGTGTTCTGTTGATATTTAGGGGTTCATTGTTGAGACATACGGAGAGACTGCTGGGAATGTTGTGTTTGGTTCTTTCTTCATTAAATTGGCGGCATTCTAGTAGCAGATGTTTGATGGAGATTTCGGATCCGCAGGTGATGCATGGTTCTAGGTCTGTTTTGTCCATGAGGTGTTTGTGGGTATGCCAGGTGTGTCCAATCCTTAAGCGGGTTAAAATTACTTCTTGTTGTCTTGTTAAATTTGTTGGGTTAATCCATCTATCGGTGGTGGGTTTAATTTCTCTTAACTTGTTGTCCCTCAGTAAATGCCATTCCTTACGCCATAAGTTTGTTATGAAATGTTTGGCTTCTCTTTTAAGGTCATCTTTGGAAAGTGAGTACAATACTTCAATGGTTTGGTCACTGGTTGCTTGTTTTGCCATCATGTCTGCTCTTTCATTCCCTTCAATTCCGGTATGGCTAGGAATCCATGTTAGTGTTATAAGTTTGTTAGTGCTGTTGAGAAGATTGGTAATATTATTAGCTATTTCATTATTTTTAATGGGGTTTTGGATACTCATTAGTGTACTCAGAGAGTCAGTTAGTATATTGAAGGTGTTGTTAGGCATTTCCTTGATTATATGGATTGCTTTTTGGATCGCTAAGGCTTCTGCGGTGAATATGCTGTTTAGAGCAGGTAATCTGAATTTGTGTGCTGAACCATTGATTATTATTGCAAATGTAATGCTGTTTTCGGTTTTGGATGCATCCGTAAAAACTAATACATCATCTTTATTTTGTGTTTTTTCTTTAAAAAGATTCCTAAAAATCTGAGGGGCGGTGTTTCCTTTGTTGCTTTCAGCAAAGCTAAGATCGATTTCAAAATTATTTGGTCTCCAAGGGGGTTTTATCGGAAATTCGGATTTTATTATATGTTTTGGGTTTATACTATGGGCATTAAAAAAGTTTTCTATCCGTCTGCCAATTGGTTTGCTTGTGTTGGTCTCTAGATAATATGCGTTATTGTTTCTTTTGTCAAATATGGAATTATAGGTCGGGTTGTTTGGATGTGAGGCTATTTTGAATGCGTATTGTAGTTCGAGTAATTTGCGTCTTTTTTCTAGGGATATCTCCCCAGTAATGCAAAGAAGACTTTTGATCGGGCTGCTTTTAAATGCACCTGTTATTAGGCGTAGATTGTTGTTTTGAATTGTCTCGAGTTTTTCTAGGCTTGTTGTTTTTGCACTGCCGTATATGATAGCACCGTATTCTATTTTAGCTCTAATCAGTGTTTTGTAAACATTGTGAAGGATTTTGTTTTGAGCACCCCATTTGTTGTTCGCTAGTAGTTTAATTATGTTGGTGGACTTGGAAGTATTTGTTTTTAAGAATGAAAAATGCTTGTTCCAGTTCAGGTTTTTGTCGAAAATCATTCCAAGAATTTTGATGTCGTTGACTATGGGTATAATTACATTGTTGAGTTTAATTTCTGGTTTGGGCGCTTTTTTTGTTTTCTTAGAGAAAACTATGCATTTGGATTTAGTTGGTGAAAATCTGAAACCATTTATTTTGCTCCAATCATTTATTGTATCTACACTAAGCTGGATGTTTTCTAAAATGGATTTATTATTTTTGCCTTTGCAGTGTAAATTTAAATCATCGGCAAATATATTGATTTGTGTGGGCAGTTTTATTATTTTAGTAACTTCATTAATAGCAATTAAGAAAAGTGTAACACTAATGGGGGAACCTTGCACCACTCCATTGACTAGAGTGAATTCATCTGAGAGTGTGTTGTTGACTTTTACAATGAATGATCTATCTGATAGGAAATGTTGAAGATATGCATGGATGTTGCCGTGGATCCCCCAGTGGTATAGAGTTTTGAGTACCTTGTATCGCCATACGGTATCGTAGGCTTTGCATATGTCGAGACATATAAGTACCATACTTTGTTTTGTAGTGAATGTGTCGCGAATTTCAGTTTCGATGTTGGTTAGACAATCGTAGGTACTTCTTTGTTTCCGGAAACCGAATTGTTTTTCCCCAAGTAGATTTTTTTTTTCAAGGTACCAACTGAGTCTGTTATTTATTATTCTTTCTAACAATTTACTTAATGCACAGAGGAGCGATATAGGCCGGTAACCTTCAGTGGTATGTTGATTGTTTGACGATTTTGGGATAGGGATTATTGTTGCTTTCTTCCATTGTTTGGGGAATTTGTTGGTAAGATAGAGGTTATTGAATATTTTTAATATTAAGTTTATTCCTTGGGTAGGTAAGTGTCGTATGAAGTCTATAGGGATATTGTCGGGACCACAACTCTTGCTTTTGGATTTATTGAGACTTAACATTATTTCGCTAATAGTAATTTCATCATTTAATGATCTTAGGTCTTCATCTATGAGTGAGATCGCTTGCGGTGTTTTAAATATATTGTAATCCTCATTGTCTTTTTTATGTTCTAGGAAAAGTGGGTCTAGTGATGAATTATTGCTATTTTCTTCGAACTTACGACCAAGTTCATTTGCTATGTCTATAGATGCCGTTAAATTTTGAGTATCAGTTTGTAAAAATTTTATGTTTTTGTATACTGGTATATTTTTCATTGCTTTAATTTTTCCCCAAACTTCAGATGGGGAAGTAGTGGTTGTTAATGTTTTCGTAAAGTGCTGCCAAGCTAGTTTTTTGCTATCAATAATGGTTCGTTTGGCTATAGCTCTGAGTTTTTTAAAATCAATTAAGTCGAATATATTTTTGGTTTTTTTGAATTTGTTATAGGCTTTTTTTTTGTTCCTAATAGATATGTCACAAGCTTCGTTCCACCAAGGGACCGCGGGTTTTTTCCCTTTGTATCGAGTAATTCTTATTGATTTGGAGGCTGAGGTTAATATAATATTTTCGAGAGTTTCAAGTGTTACTTCAGCATCTTCATTTTCTGGTATATATAATTTATCTAATTCGTAGTCGGTTAATTGAGTGTACAATTCCCAATTTGGGCTTTTAAGATTCCATTTTGGGGGGAGCTCGTAGTGTTCCGCGATATTTCGATATTTAATGTTGATAATGATGGGCCAGTGATCGCTACTATATATTGCTGGTATTACTTTCCATTCGGAATTGCAGCCTATTGACGTAGACGATAGAGATAGGTCGATTGCAGATGTATTGCCTGAAGCTGTGGTAAAGTGTGTGTCATTTCCATCATTTAATAACATAATATTGGGGTTATCTAGAATTGTTTCAATGATACGACCTCTGGTATCGGTGTGTTGAGAGCCCCACAGAATGTTATGGCTATTAAAGTCGCCAAGTAAAAAAAAAGGTGTAGGAAGTTGATTTATTATATCTTGGATATCATTTAGGTTGAAATTAGTGAGGTTAGGTAAATAGATGTTACATATTGTTACATTTTCTTTGGTTTTTAATCTGATTGCAATTACTTCCAGTTGGGATATTATTGGTATTTCTTGTGCTGGGTACGAAGTGTCCGTAAAAATGGCAACTCCCCCAAATAATAATTAAAATGTTATTGTTTATAATACTTGATATAATTACTGCCAAAATTGATCGTAAGTCGCTTCGAGCTCTATCTACGTCTGGTATTTTTATTTTTACTGAATCTCCAATGTTTCCTTCACAAAATCTTCTTTCAGAAAGAGATTTCATTTTATTTGCTTGCTTTTCTAAATTCTGCACAGATTCATTTCTTTTTATCTGAATAGAAAGTTTTCTAGAGTTTAAAGCATCCTCAGAATTGTAATTTTCTTCATTTTCTTCTATAATTACTTCATTGCCTTCCTTGTTTTTTTCTTTATTTTCTTCCTCTTCAATAGTGTTTAAGGCTTTTTCTAGGTCTTCTTATGTTTTTAATTTTTCTACTACATGCATTGGGAGTACACAATTATTTAATCCAATTTTAGCCCTAGAGCCAAACATAGGTTAAATGAAGATTTAATGCCATGATGAAAAGATCGATTTTTTATGAATTGTACGAATTTTATGCCTTCGCTCCATTTTTTGGTCTTATTGTCTTGCAACCACGTTCCTAACATATTCTCTATGTCTTGGCTTTGAACCTTGACTTTGAGAATGGCGAGGCTTACCATGTACTATTTTTAAATCTTTCCACATACTACATAATTTTTCTACTATCTTGTTTGAAAATTCTCTACCATTATTGCTTTGCAATATAGCTGGAGCACCAAAAGTTGTAAATATATCCAGTAAAACATAAGCAACTTCCTCAGCACGTTTATTAGATAAAGGACGCAAGTTTACAAATTTAGTTAAATGGTCTTGATAGACTAAAATAAACTTATAATTACCATCAGGCTGGGCCTGCATGTCAATTAAATCTATTTGACACCTTGAATTCATTTCTCTTTTGATATAATAGGTTTGACTACTAAGCATTTTTTAATTGTACTTCCTTTTTTTTTGGCATGATTCGCATAAGTTCAAGTATAATATAATTGCCTCCCTTGTTATATTTTTATATTTAATATTTAACACGTGTTCCATTCTACTACGACCTCCTTGCCCAATTGATAAATGAGTTTCATGGAGGATATTAAAAAGTTCTTCGTTATGCGCGTAATATTTAATTTGGTTACCTTTATTTATTGGTACAACAAGTTTTTTCACATTACACACTCGCATTGTATCATACTTCTTAATCAATTTATAATCATTTGGAATTTTGGTTTTTTTCAATTTTAATTCTTTTAAATGTACTATAAGTTCATCAATATGTACTGTTAGGTTTTTTAAGATCTAAAATATTATTTAAACGATTATTAAATGTATTTTTCATTTTAAAAACAACACGCAGAAATACTACACAATTATACATAGCACTAAACGGCACAGGTAAACAGCAGTACGCGTACTGTCGTCTATGATAAATATGGCTATATGCCTACATAGAGTTCCATGATAATAATAATTGCGATATAAATTGTTGTTATTGATGGACGACGAATATCCAAGCGGCGTATGTTGAAAATGCCCACCGATTCCTAATCTACTAATGACACTACCGATAAAAGTTATCGTAACCCGTAGAACGTAGAGCCTGAAGAGAATAACAAAAATATTAAACTCTAAAATAACTCTAATATTCACATTGACCACACCAGTCTTAGCATTGTATACAATGACTGGACATTGTATTACAATGACTGATTCGTCTATCTGGACCGTAACATATATAGCTGATACTTAAAAAATATAACTGAGCAAAAGAATAGCGTTTAGAATGGTTTTTTACCTTTTTATCAGTATAAGAGTAATCCGATAAAAGATTGTCGGTAAACAATTTTGACATTAGTCTTTTGACCATGGCTCTGCTTTTCCTCCAATAAATGACAGCTCGTTAATCTCAAAGTATAAAATATAAAATATGCTCAACACAATTAATTTTGACATAAAAAATACAATAGTAATTACCAAATGTGATTTAAATTGATGATGGCCAGCAATTTTATCTTCTACAGTTTTTAAATCAATATTATTATCCAAGGTTAGTTAGCAATCATGAAAATCGTTTTGAGATAAACTATTTTTATCAGACTATGTATTATTGCCTTGTAAATGAGTTAATAATGATTAAAAATTTTTAAACGTATCTGATTGGTTACTTTGAATTTTTTGCATTTCCACTTTTAAAAATACCATATTAAGCATGATATTATTTTAAAAACTGTTATGTATTAAAATTAATAAAACAAAAAATATATTTTGTATAAAAGTTAAATAATATATTAAATTTGTATTTATATTACCCAGCGAAGCAATGGAATTTGTAGAGCTAACACTTGCTGCTAAATCTTTTGTTTCCAGACTTTGATCTAATGTACATAATTATAAAATAATAGAAACAATTAATTAGGCACCTAATATTTAGTTTCAATTCATGAAAAAAATATTTTTTAATTACTTGCAGTAACTACATTAGATACACCAATTGAGGCGTTAAACCTATTATTATTATATAAAGCAACATGATCTTGTTCTTGAATGTCATTAGGAGTTGTTTTAATTGTAGAATGAATAGGCAGTTCTGAAATTGTAACATTGAAGTAAAATAACAATAATTAAAACAAATATCTATTTATATTGGTAACTAATATGACGTATAATAATAACAATTATGATTTTTGTATATTAATTTGGTATTGATTCTGTTAATCTATTTTACTTACTTTTTATTTTTTTGGAATCAAAAACGTCGGACACTTGTATAAATTAAAGTTTCCCAGCTGTAGAATTAGAACTTTTTTTTGAAAATATCTATATATTTATTATATAACTTAATATAATTATAATAAAAATAACTCATTATATTTAGCATTTATACCAGCATGAAATGTTGAAGTGCTTTGACTAGCTCTTGGTGATGAAGAAATAGCCACATCCCGTGTCTGAACACGAGTTTTTATTACTTTTAAATGAGGTAAATATTATTAGAAGATATTAAAATTATATTTACATTTAAAATTTTTTTTTGAGATTGAGACCAATCCTGTTGTAGTTTTCTTGCATGGTTTTTTAATAGAACCTGCTGATTCACATCTCATGGATATAAATTTCTTTTTAGAAACTATGATTGATTCGTTTTCATTATCTGAATCTATAGGCAAAGCATAATAAGGAAAATATAGGTAATAACGTTTCCATCCATATTAATATACAAATGCAAATAGATACAACAGTATTACTAAGAAACAGATGAATTGAATCATTAGATCTTGTAGGCGAGTTAAGTTTATTCCGATTAAACGTTTCATTGTCATCAGTAAAATCAGATCTATACATGGCAATATTTGCTTTTGATTTTGTTTCACTTAATGACGCTGTTTAAAATCAAACATATGAATTGTGGATATAACAAAATTAAGAGGTAGTTAATATTTCATAATAACTTAAATGTTAAATTCCCAACTTATTTATATTTTTACCAAGTACTCAAATTTTGAAATATTTAAATTCAAATTCATTTGGTATATGTCTGTTAATAATATATTTTTATGTTAGTAGTTGGTTATTGGGCCATGCACAATAGTTATCGTGTACCCAAATACACTATCATCTTTAATAAAATGTACAACTCAATAAATTTACATTTTAAATATATATTATAAATATAATATATATAAAATATTTTAAATTATTGTTTTATAAAATTATTGTATAAGTTTAATAGTTCTTACGGTAAATGAATCATAATAACTGATACCTATTTTCTTTAAAAAAAATAATAAAAATAATTTATCATAATCAGTAGGTAACTATTGTTTTTTATAAACTAGTTGTCCAAAGATTTGTATTTTTAATAAATATATTTGTACAAAATGAATATACCATATTTTTTTCTTATTATAATTTTAATATAATATGTAACGAATTGCAACCATTTAGAATGACAAAAATTATTTCTTTTTTTCGTATGCTAAAAAAAACCATGTGTGAGCTACCATTTACCTATCTAAAAAATCAAGCTGTATACACCCTCTAATTTTCAATCAATAAACTATTGAAATAACTTTTATTGAAAACGGTCCAGTCATTTTTTGAAGCAATTAACTTCGGATAAACCAACATCCAATTTTAGTTGTACTTATAACACAAATATATACACTAATATACATTCAACTTTCATATATGTTTTAAGATATAATTTCTTTTTCGAAACCATAAATGTGCCACGATTTGATGGATGCTTTTACCTCATATACCAGAGTAACTAATGGCAAACATTTAAAATACAAATTTTTACTAATTACTAATTAAAATTAAATACTTAGTACTATATATTATTATTAAACATTATACCTATTATTTATTTTATTTACATTAATTATCATATAGTTGAACATTAGGGTGGTCCTTATTTTTCATTTGTGAATTTTCTTAGATTACTCCTCTTTTTAGAATATTAAAAATTGAGATATTTCCGGCAACTTAACATAAAACATATTAATAAATAATTATAACAACAATTTACAATAAATTATAACATAATGACTGAATATTTTTTACTTATATAGTTATTTCTTTAACATATTTTAAATTTATGAGTGTGTTAGTGTTTTTTTGTGGTCAGGATATATTTTACAATAATCACTAACAATTAGTAGAAACTAGAAGGTGTTGTTTTAGGGATTCATCTTTGGTTATTTTATTGTTATAGTCCTCTATAAGTTTTACTCCTCTTTCGGCAACTTCATTTATAACTGGGATATTTTTTAAAACTTACAGAGCTTTATAGTATTAATTACAAACTATATTATACAGTACCTAAATAAGTTTATGTTAATTTAAATCACATTATATGATATAGAGAACATTTTATTTATTACTGCTTTAAAAAATAGTTGCAAATTTATATTTTTAAAATTTGAACTCAAATATATAGTTATAATGAATATAATATATAGTTTGTAAACTATCTGACAAAGGTGCTTTTTTTTATACTGCCCATCCACAATAAAATCAGTGTTTTCATAACTCCCAAACACACAATATGCATGTAATCTTATAATTAAAAATTATATTTAAATGAGGTATTTCAGTAATTAATGAAACTGAATTAGTTATGTAGTATTCAAAATTTGAGTGATTCCGAGCGGGCCAATTTTTATGTATGAATAACATCACAAGAAAAACTGGTAAATTAATTTTATTTAATTAATTCAATAAATTAAAAACAATGAAAACTAAATGAGAATAATATATTAAATATAATATTATTTTAAGACTTAATTAGCTTGGCGGGCTGGTGCAAAATACTTTGTTGGCTTGATTCGGGCTACGGGCCATAGGTTGGAGACCCCTGATCTGAACTATAATATAAATCATCAACCTCGTCTAGTACCTCTAAAAATCTACAGTACTTGGTAGATTTACTTACAGTACTATTAGACATAATTTAGAATACATACTTTAATCTTATAGGAACATAAAAGTATCATATAACTTGCGCAAAAAGATAAATTATACGTAACTTGAATATATAGCTTTTAGTTAGTTTTAACTAATATGTTCGTAACTACAACTAAAGTACCTATCTAGAACACTAACAAGTAAGATCAAATTAGCAATTACCAATTTTAAGTTTCAACACTTCTTAAAATATAAATAAGTGTTGTAAAAAATACTTTACTAAAAGTATTTAAGTAACATTTTTAATACCCAATATTTAGATATATTTATTTTTGTCATTAACTTGTTTATAAAAATTAATTATTTGGTACCTAAATATTTATTGCGATGTGATGGTGTCATGGACCGTTCACGCGGTATAGCCACAGATTATATAATATATTATAATATTATTTAATTTGATCTGTCGTACAGCCTTAAACTAAGTTGGTATG